TGGTTAGAAAATGGAAATGGTATCCGCTAACTATAAAGAGGCAACACAAGACGATTCGAAACAGCTTAAATGGGGCTTTGCCACAATTAGGGGTACTTTGTTGGGGGTCCCCCATAATAAGGATCGTAGTATGTTGGGGTCCATATTGGGGTCCCCCTAGTTTTAGAAAGTATCAAATCCATGAGACTTGTAGCTACCAGCACCCCTTGAAATCACTATTACAGGGTGGGGGGTCCACCCAACCTAAATCCATGACGCCTGAACCCTAAGCCCTGAATTCTGCCCAGGGCGCTTTCATCTACGAGTTTGGCGATCATGGGGGCCTCATCGTCATGGCGGACGACCTGAAAAAGACGGGCGAGGCTCCGCACCTGGAGCTGGCTACGTTTAGGGTTTAGGGTTTAGGGTTACGGGGTAGAACTTTCATTCCCCAGATACCCCTTGCCTTGGATCCCAAGTGCTACATGCCCATTTGGATGTTTTGCAAAGTTAAGGCCCTGGACAAAGGTACGCCCGCGCTGCGGGAACCCCCAAGTCAAAAACACCCCGTTTTTGGTACCCTTATCTTCTCTTCGAAGCCCTGCGCATGTGCCTACAGAGTAAAGATCATCCGCTGTCACGGCCCAGATGTCCCTCGAGGCTGTAACTCCTTCCTTCAGGCTTCCAGTTGGGGAACCATAGAGGTCTAAAGCACAAAAACCCTGAGCCTTGAAGCTCAAACTTCTTGATCCCATCTCAATGAAGAATAGCCCTCTCCACTCCGCGAATACAAAGCACTCCCCAAATAGAGTACCATCACATAATGATGGATTTTTTATTGTTAGGGGTTGGGGAGGTGCATGATCAGTCAACCCTAAGCCCTAAACCATAAGCCCCAAGCCCCAAGCCCCGAAATTGGTCAACCTAACTTCTCTTGAGGTGGTCTTCACCTGGAACGAGGGCGAGTCGTGGTACGACTTCAAGGCGGGTTTCTCAAAATCAACGCCACCTCCATGGGTTCCATGGATCATAGAGGACTCTTACTGGTGCTGAAGGGACAGCCGGGGAATCAATATAGGAGAAATACAAAGAATTACTCCCGTTAACCCTAAGCCCTGTATAACCCCATGATAGTAGTTTCCATTTTCTTTTCCATTATCCCTATATACCCATTATGGCAACATGCCATGAACCACTCCGTTAGTCTTCCAACGGGACCACCAAGGAATCAGAGGATGAGGGCGTGCCTAGCGGATGTCCGAACAGGGCTGGAATCAAGGGTTTCCTGTCCTTTCGGAAGGGTATTTTCCGGACAGTTCTTCCGGAAGCGTAGTATACTAACCCTTTTTGGGAATCATAATCGGGATCCGAATGTTAAGGCCCTTAAAAGGAGGGGGTTGATTAATCATGGGTCTACATTATGCCTCAAGCACTCTTACAAGCTTTGTTCCGAGTGCTTGGGCTCATGTCTCGAAGAGTTTTGGAGCCTGCCATTGCAGGGTTCGGGACTAGGTGGTCCAGACTTGGGGGCGACAGGTTTCGGTAGGCAAAACAGAATCCCACGTTTCATACTGAGCGCCAGAGACAAGATAGGAAACTACCATCCCCCAAGATATAAGACTTGGGCTTGTCTGGGGACTTCCGTGTTTGTTTAAGGCAGGGTGTCTCTCCAAGTTCTGGGACGGCATTCGGAAGCCCCCTGCGTGGAGGTCCATGGACTGAGACCCTACTTTGTAAGTGTACCTATAGCCTTTTTGCCCAAAAATACCTGCATACGGTAAGTCTACTGAGTGGACATGTAAGTAGGCCGGAACTACAGTTGCTAGATAGGTTGTAATCAGTTTGGGTGGTTGTCAAAACTATTGTCCCTTTTTGGGTACCCTAGATATTAGGTGCCGTATTATAGTAGGGACCCAAAAAGGGACCGTAATTTTGACAACCACCCGTTTAGACTATAGCTCAAAATAAAAAGGAAGCCACGCCCAAAACCGATCTCAAGAACGACAGCCTTCCTCTAACCCCTGGAGCCTTAGCACCTTAAACCCTAAACCCTCTGGGTACCCTAAACCGTAAACTCTAGACCCTACATGCCCCAAAACTTCCACACATGAACCCTAAACCCTAAACCTAAACCCTGAACCCTGAACCCAAAACCTAAACCCTGAACCCTGAACCCAACACCCTAGACCCTACAACCCCTCAACTCTGGAAGCTCCTGCCTTCCTCCAGCCCCTTTGGGAAGGTGTCAAACACGCCCTTTGAGGTGGGCCTGAGCTGGACTGGGTATATAGTCCCCCTTAAATTGATAGAATATGGGGTATATGGGGATCTTATCATAATATACCCCCCCGCAGCCATATTTATTCTATCTACTTAAGGGCGACGATATTGAGAAGCAACTTAGGGTTTAGGGTCTACGGTGTAGGGTGTGGGGTTCAGGGTTTCGGGTTCAAGGTTTAGGGTTCGAGTAGGTTGCCTGCTTGTGCTGAGTGCTCCGCTTTGGATTCTACAGGGATCATTTTCAGAAAATCCCGTGTTATGGTCTTTGGGATTTTGGCGGATGAGGGGACTTCCTGCCGAAAGGTGCTTCAGGCCTTTGCCACGCTCCGTGCCCTGGATGCCGCCTCCCATCCAGCAACAGCTGGAAAACGACCGTTGTATATTGGTATAAAGCCCTGAATGTTTGCTAATATAGACGGTTAGTGGGTGGGGACATTGCCCAGTCTATACCCTAAACTCTGAATCCTAAACCCTATACCCTAAACCCTATACCCTAAACCCTTTACCCTAGACGCTAAACCCTAAACCCTAACCCGTATAACCTGAGACAGCTTCCTTCCCAGGTGGACAACATCATCACTGAGCCCAACCTCACTGCCACAACTTTCGTGATGTTCGGCACGCGAGAGGACGGTGGTGGGATGAGCTTGGGTATCAGTGTCTAGTCCCCCTTGGGTAGATAGAATATGGCTTTGGGTATATCATAATAAGATCCCTATATACACCAGATTCTATCTACTTAAGGGGGACTATATCAATAGAAGGAGGACAAAACTTTGATTACCCACTTCGTTATTAGGTGTGGTTTATGGGTTTGTAGGACCTCAGGGGTCGTACGTAGCCCAGCCGCCAGTGCGGCAAAATTTCACCCTCTTCTCGCAAAGGCCCGGCGGCCTCCGGTGCTCCTCCAAGCTTGATCTCTCACCTCAGCACGGATTTGAGCCAGGAAGCTCAAACGCTGAGCCGAAGTTTCGTGCTCCTCAGCATCAGCCGGCCAGCCCAGGCGGCTAGACATCGGGCAAGCAGGTTCTTGAAGCTGGCCTCTGCTGTCGTCAAAGTGGTGGCATCTCCATGCCAGGTGCATCCAGTTTGGCACCGTCCGCTCCTTACAGAAAGGGCAAAACACCTGAACAGCCGAGACCTTAGGCAGGTGATTGAACATCTTCTCATAGGCAGTCAAAGAAAGCCCTGCACCGACCAAGATCCCCCTTTCCTCAAGCGTGCCGCGATCGAACATCTTACGAGCCAAGGAAGTCCTGCGGGCATCGTAGGACACCTGTGCCCCTCTAGCTGCCTCCGCCTCGCGGCGAGGATTTCTCAGGAAATCCTGGAACCAGCGCCGTCTCCAGATCTCACGCAGACAATGCAAAGTCTTGTGAAGCTGTTCCCGTTGGCCCGCACCATCGAGCCTAATGCTGGCTCCAGAAGGGTGAGTCGCCTCGAATTCATTGAACTGAAAGTCGAAGTCTTCAAGACGGCTCCGGAGGGAGCTCCACCACGTCCCCTGCTGAAGTTGCAGGCCATTGCGACGCCAGTAAGCTGCTGCATTCCACCAGACTCGAAGCGAGTCCGAAAGCTGGGTGATATCTGGATCGATCCAATGGCCCTGTAAGGTGGCCCATAGGCCGCGGCTGGCGACATACTGGCCACCCAAGACTTGTTTTGCAGTGGTGATCCACTTTTTGCAGAAAATTTGTGGGTGAGGATCCCACCAAGTCCCCCAATGAAGCGAGGGCAGCACACGCTGGCGGTATGCTTGTTCACGAAACTTGTGTCCTCCGGGCAGCAGACCAAGACGATGGAGAAGAGCGCGCGCTCCCTTCTGCAGCCTCCGAGATCCCTTGCCTCCTCAAAAATGTCGCATCCAAAGGGTCGACGCAATGGATCCTCAGCTTGGTTTGGTTCTCATTACCCACTTCGTTAACACGTGACTTGTTGGGATCTTCGTGCGGTGCTTTGAATGCAGGCTTCAGTGACCGGAAGTGAAACAAGTGGCTTTTTTTGGACGTTTTGGTCGAAGACGCGACTACCACTATGGGCTATTAGAGCCTTAAATTCCCTATTAGGACCCAAATAAGGGTAGATTAAGGTACCCTTAAGGTCTAATAGCCAATAGCCTAAACCCTAAACCCTAAACCCCCTTAAGGTCTAATAGCCCATAGTCGAAATCACGTAACCCGCAGCGACTGCAGCTTCCTTCAGCTTGAGGATCTGCAAGGGGCCACCAGGTAGGGTTTAGGTGTGTGAGTCGCATTTGTGATGGGGATACTGTAGCTCCCAATACAGTGTAAGGCTGTGTCCTGGTTTTGGTGATAGTGGATTTTAATCTGTTTTTAGAAGAAAATAATATAACCTTACCTGGTTCTACCACCAGAGGTACACTTTGGATACTGCCCCCACTCATTGGCAGCTGGATACTACTCATAGTATACTTATATAGAGTCCTTAATATGACCCTACTATAGATTGTTAATGGGTGGGGGAGCAGGACCCAAAGTCCCTAAAGCCTAAACCCTGAGACGTTTCTGCCAGGAAGGCACGGGGGTCTTGTACTACCTCAAGTTCGACTCGCCATCTCCTCAGCATCGTTCCGATGCTCGAGGGGGGCAGTGAACCTTGTTGCGTACCTTTAACGGGGATATCGGGTTTGTATGCAGGATATATGTGGGAGTATATTGGGATAATGGAAAAGAAGTTGCAAGTTACTATTCAGGGTGTGGGGCTTAGATATTCCTAAACATGTTGAAGTTGGTTCTGGATGCAAGTCGCAAGAAATACACTAGTACGATATAATCTGCGCTTTGTGCTGGTCTGTGAGGTTTGAACAGGTAGGGGCATAGAACGATTTTTCTCGGGCCCACACCCAAATCTCACTAGATCCTGCATGCTTCACAGCCCCACACCCTAGACCCCCTAAACCCAAACTTCAAGCATGAATGAGAAATCCTTCACACTAAGGATTCCGACCCCAATTCCCTAAAGCCCTTCAAGTCAAAAGCGCTTACCCCAAAACCCCTTTGCCATGAAGCCTAACTTGGGACTCTCAACAGAGAACTCAACTCCGCATACTGTTGATACTGAGATTCCTGCATTACCTCACTGTAGTATATTGCCATAATTCGCAAGGTACAAGGTACTTAGCGTCATGCGGGATTTTCGTATTAACTGTAGACCTAAATTTCTGAAGAGTATGAGTAGTGTTTTAATGTGGAGACTGTGCCACCCAATACAGAGCAAGATTGCATCTTCCATTTGGTTATATTATGCTATAAGAAGAGTATAATCATCTTGCTCGGTTCGCCCACTCAAGCTCTCAGAAAAACGCCGAACCCTGGACCCTGATTCCCAAACCCTGAGCGGTAGCCCCTACGCCAATTTTGAAGCTAAGGGCAGCAATCCCTAAGCCCTAATCCCTAAACCCTAGTCCCTAAATCCTAATGCCCAAATCCTAATCCCTGAACCTTAATCCCTAAACCCTCATCCCTAAACCCTCATCCCTAAACCCGAATCCCCAAATCCTAATTCCCAAATCCTAACCCCTAAATCATAGACCCTAGGCCCTAGATCAAAGACTTTAAATCCTAGTCCTTAATCCTCAAGCCTTAAACCTTGTGCTGAGGCTTCAGTTTCCTGCATGCCGGGGTAGCACCGCCGCAGACTCGGTCTCCTCTGACTACGAGGCCCGGGGCTTGCCTAAAGAGGACAGTATAAGGGGTTTAGGGTGTAGGGTTTCGGGATTTGGGTTTAAGGATTAGGGTTTAGGGATTAGAGTTTAGGGATTAGGGTTTAGGGTTTAGGGATTAGGGTTTAGGGATTAATTAGGGATTAGGGTTTAGGGATTTGGGTTTAGGGTTTAGGGCTTATTATATATGTATATATACATATATGAGCCATAGTCTAAACTCCTCAAGGGGGGTTTATAAGGGATTATTAAGGGGGGGATCCTAGGAGTTTAGAGTATATCGTTGTATAGGGTTTAGGTGCTAGGCGGTAGGGTTGTAGGGTTTTAGGTGCTAGGTATATGGGTTTAGGTTCTAGGGTACATGGTCGTAGAGGGTTTAGGCGCTAGGGTACATGGTCGTAAAGGGTTTAGGTGCTAGGGTATATGGTTGTATAGTCTAGTGTCTAGGTGCTCGAGTCTAGGGTTGTGTAGGGTTTAGGTGCTTGGTTATAGGGTTGTATAGGGTTTAGGTGTTCGGGTATATGGTGGTAAGTGTTTAGGTGCCCGGGTATATGTTGGTAAGGGTTTAGGCGGTAGGGTATAGGGTGGTAAAGGGTTTAGGTGCTACGGTATAGGGTTTTGTACAGCGAGACATAAGGAACATACAGGGATGTCCTTCCTTTCGGGGCTTCGTCCTTATGATGGGATGCATATCCTAAGGCTCTAAGCCCTGCACCCCAAACCTTAATTATGCTCTAAACCTATCACCCACTCCCAGACCCCAAACCCAAACCCCAAAACACCAAACGCCAAACCTCAACTTACTGGTGCTTCTGGGGAGTGGGGGTGTGCATAAGCGACTATTCCAAGGGTATATATATATATATATCTATATTTATATTTCTGGGAATCCTATATGGGTTATCATGAGAATCAGCTCCCCACAGTCCCCTAAACCCTAAACCCAAAGCCCTTAAGCCCTAACTACTGCCCTAAACCCTAAACCCTAAACCCTCCACTCTCCAAGCACCAGAAAGTTAATGACTCCAGACCTGGGCGGCTTCCGATGGCAAGCGCGCGGGAGCTGAGCGGTGTATGCTTGGCCAGCAGGTGGGGAGCCCGGGGGTGTTCAGTGTGGGGGGGTTAGGGTTGAAGGGTTTAGGGTTTAGGGTTGCCTAACTAGTTGGGAATGAGGTTTTAGGCGTAGGGGCTTAGGACATTTTTGGTTCAGGTCTTTGCGACGCACGGGTTTGGGTTCAGGTGTTGGGGGGTTGGAATAATCGAGAATCAATTGCACTATATACTGAAAGTGGGATAACGTGGGATTGTAGTGTGGTGTCCTCCAGTTGGTTTGAACGGGGTTTTGTGTAGGCCACTCCCATGGATTCCCCTATGCTTCTCCTTTGCCTCTCCCGAGCCTAACAACTTGAAACCTAACAACCAGAAAATTCCATTGAATTCAGGATGGTAGGGTTGAGGAGCTAAGGGTGTACGTGAATGAGGTATGGAAGAGGGAAGCCTTTGAGGGTCCCAGCTGGATGGTGAGGATCATCTCAGCGTTACGGCGGGGGGGGGGGGGCTCTGGGGTGTTGATGCCTGTCTATGTAAACGGGATTCGCGGCTGGTGTTTGGGGAGGTGCAATGAGAAGAAGAGGGAGTGCAGGAATGAGAAGCCACAGGGGTCCTGCTAATTACTATCCTTAGGGCTACTTGGAAATACACGTATTTTTTTATGAAACTACAACGATCATAATCTTTACTGGGTTCCGAGTTCAGCATAGGTATTGTTGCTAGTCGTACTATTTCTACTTATTAGTATGGAAACAGTTTTTACCATTACTATTATTATTCTCCTTATTATTTTAGACAGCTGTTGTTATTATCACGTTTATTTTTTTTTTATCATTTCTATTATTAGTATTGCTACTACTACGAGTACTCGTACAGCTTCGAAGCTTCAAGGTCCAG